CCCTACGCAGAGTTCTCGTACAATAACAACTACCAGGCTAGTTTGAAGATGGCACCGTTTGAAGCCCTGTATGGAAGAAGATGCCGAACACCGTTGATGTGGGATGAATTTGGAGACCGCCAGTTGTTTGGACCGGATTTGATTAAGGAGTCCGAAGAGAAGGTTAAGTTGATTCGAGATAGACTGAAGGTATCTCAGTCCAGACAGAAGAGTTATGCAGACTCAAAACGCAAGGAGGTAGTCTATGAAATCGGAGATAAAGCATATCTGCGTGTCACCTCTACGAGGAGTTAAGCGTTTTGGAGTTAAGAGAAAGTTATTCCCGAGATTTGTAGGACCATACCGAGTTTTGGAACGCATGGGAGAGGTTCCCTACAAGTTGGAGTTACCCGAAGGACTATCAGGAGTACATGATATGTTTCACGTTTCCCAGTTGAAGAAGTGTCATGCAGAGATGGCCGATATTCCTCTAAGTGATACAATGCCCCTAGAAGCAATTCTGTTGGACAGTGATTTTACATATGAGGAGAACCCTGTCAAGATTCTCGAGTTTGCCAGCCGAGTTACTCGCAGCAAAGTTATTAAGTTTTGTAAAGTTCAGTGGAGCCACCATACCGAGGATGAAGCCACCTGGGAAAGAGGGGATGATCTACGCAAAGACCACCCACACCTGTTTTCTAGCCAACCCGAATATCGAGGGCGAGATTCATCTTGAGGGGGGTAGGTTTGTAACATCCCAAATTTTTAATTTGGAGTGTTATACATAGATCATTCCTGCATATCATATTTTATTGCATTTTCGTTTTGCGATCCTCGAAATTCTAAGCAACTCAAGGACCCACGGATAGAGTTGGGGATTTCACGTTTTTCATATTTGCATTTTATCAAATATTGAAACAGGAATCATTTTGGTTTTAATAATTTTTCTCTCCGAATATATTTCTTACTAAAATATATGAGAGGAGATAATATGACTTCTCCAAAAAATGAGATATTGGAGGAAAAATATTAAAATCAAATAAATGATTTTATTTGAATTTTATTTGCGATTTTATTTGAATTAGAAAAAATATGCATTTTTTAAAATTGCATTTTAGGGCCAAAAAAATGTTCATCTTGTTCTAAATATTTTATTTAGACGGTGAAAATTTATTTTGGTATTTTTAGATTTTTACTAGTGCAAATGCCCGTGCGTTGCATCGGGCGAAAAATAAAATATAACAATGAGTATTTATTTTTCTAAATCCAAATTTTGCAAACGTTTTCATCCGATTTGCAGCATTTTTATAATCCAATTTTTGCAAACGTCAAAGTAAGGTTAGACTGAGTATTTCTTTTGTACCATGAAATTCGGACGTGCCGTAACAATGTTTGTCATTACTTATTTCAGCTCTGCACTTTCATTTCATCCAAAAACCCGAATTGTTTTTATCAATCCATTTTATTTTTTGTTGTTCAGAAAAACACGAACTTTTTCTACTTTGAGGTGTTTTTTTAGAATATTTTTTAGCTCAGATTCCCATGTCCTTCTCCGGTGCAGTACGCAGTACAAATCGTGGTTCTTCCCAAAATGCCAAAAAAAATAGCATTGGAGGAGGATCCTCGAAGCCATGGACCACCACCGCCTTAGTAGGCCGTGCCGGTTGAGGCCGCCGAGGAGGGTGCTGGCGTGCCATCGGCTGACAATACGGCCATCGACACCACCGTCTGGATAAGAAATATATGCTTAGACAGTTGGAAAAAAACTACCACTAAAAAACATTGCAATCAGTCAAACAGCCATATCAGAACAATTATTTCAAACAACTAAAACTTTTTCAGTTTGTAAATTCCGTACCATTCTCGAAAAAAACTAATAAGTAAACATGGATATGCTCTTACTTGATTTTCCACATGGCAAGTTGAAACAATTCTTGTTGTTGAAATCGATGTACAGTAATGATCAAAAGTATTGGGATAAGATTTCAGATCAAAATTGATGAATGAAAAAAGGCCGGCATAATCGCTAATTAAAGATCTCTGAGAAAGAAAATTAGAACGAATGAAAATTAAACACAATAGAAAATTATATAAGTTATTAAGGCTATTGATTCTTTATGCAGCTATTGAGAAGTAGTGTACTGTATTATCTAACTCCACAGATTTACCTTTTTGTTACTATTAAGTCGAATGTGAAGTGAACTGAATAGCAATAGTAGAACGGTGGTGGCACAGTGCTGACATGGAGTAAGGGATGTTTGCAGCCATATGAAAAAAAAATCTGAAGATACACTATGAAAGGATATAAAGGAGCACAGATAACATGCGAACAGCAGTGCGAGAAGATGCAGCAAGAAGAAAAGATGGATCTGAATCTGATAACTCAACCGTGTAGCCAGTCTCTCAGAAAATCTAGATAGGTGCCTACCTAACTAAATACGACTTAGAAAAAGAAGATTGAAAAATGGAGGAAAAAACATCACTGTCTTGCGTGCTTGCATATTTGGTTTGTTGGATCCAGGTGCTGCTCTTAAAACTGAGGATTTGCAAGTATTTAAGACCTTCTGCTCTCTGTGCCACATTTTAAAGATATACATAACCTTGTGAAAAAATGTTCATCAGATTTTTTCCCTTCTAGATGTTAGATTAGATACTATGACCTAACAAATATTCATCGATCAATTGCAGTAGTTGATGTCTAGTTTCATTTGTTTGAGTTAATCAATTAATTATATGTATCAATACTTAAAATGCTGGTTTGAACGTATCAGCATACCATGGAGATAGACAAAAAAGGACTTTACCTCATTCCACTTATATTGCCCTTGTTCTAATGTTGATTTGACACCAACCTCTCTAGTAGACAGAGAATCCCTGCCAATAACAGCCTTTCAAGTCTCAAAGTACATACACATAAAATCCTTCTCAAGTAATTTTATTGTTTCCATAATCAATCATGAACCTACTGTATCAACATGAACAGTCAATACATATTAGTAGTGTAGAAAGAAATACATATCACATACTCTTGCCATCTCATCACATACTCTTGCCATTTCTCGCACACATGATGATCACATACTGTTTCTTCTGATCGCAGACAGTCCTCTCCCTCAAACAAATACATCTATACGAATTGGGCTGCATATAATTAAGAAAATGTTATGGACCTCAAGGTGGGTGCAGAAATTTATCAGCTCAATCTACCTTCCATCACTAAAAAGACAGAAGAAAAAATTGCTTAGTTGTGAATTTCTTCGAGCATCTAATAAATAATTCAGAGTAAAACTTGAGAACACGACATCATGTAATCAACTCGTACAGGGGACCAAGATGACACTCGTGGATCAGGAATATAGTAGTAAGGGTACCAAGATGACATTCGTGGATCGGGAATATAGTAGTAAGGGTTATCTGTTGGATATTCTTTGCACGTTCATCGGATCCCCCTACACTCATACCTTTTTTCGCATGGACGGTCCATAAGAAAAGACCCATCCGTGGCCCGGCAGTAAAGACCGGACGAGGCGCAAGGAATTTTTTGCCTTATGATCCCACAACCATAGCTTCAAAAGAGTGTATTGTCTGTAGGAGATTGTCACTCATGCTCACTCCAATTCTACTGGCAATTCCGTGAATCAAATCTATGCCTTCTTCCATAGCAATGAGCTCTAGAACCTTGACCATCTAAGGGAATATAATTTTTCATCAAAGTTATAAACAAACCCAATTTGAATGTACCTCATCAAGTGAAAGGTGCATAGACGTTTAACAGCCTCAAGGTATGAAGAATCATAGAATTCAGAAGACGGCTATGTATACTATGTAGTAATGTCTCAATGTCTTCAGAAACCTCTATCTACTTTTCAGTAGGAAATTTAGCTACTTTCCAGACTTATGTGCTCGACTTGATAACTTATAAACACTCTCGACCATTAATCTATTTCACGGACTTCAACACAATACCTGTATAAAATTTATAGAAATTCTGTTAAAAAAAATTTAAGCTAAGTCGGCAATGCATATATTATCCATCTTATTCTTCGACCAAAAGGAGGTAACAAACTCCTATAAGTATAGATGAAAAATATGTTATGAGCACCATAAAGATAAAAAATATCAAATGACAAGGAAAGCGTAGTTTTGCACAAGTTACTATTCATGCACCTGAAAGATCCACACAAAATAGAGCTATATAGTAGTAAGGGTACCAAGATGACATTCGTGGATCAGGAATATAGTAGTAAGGGTAATCTGTTGGATATTCTTTGCACGTTCATTGGATCCCCCTACACTCATACCTTTTTTCGCATGGACGGTCCATAAGAAAAGACCCATCCGTGGCCCGGCAGCAAAGACCGGACGAGGCGCAAGGAATTTTTTGCCTTACGACCCCACAGCCATAGCTTCAAAAGAGTGTATTGTCTGTAGGAGATTGTCACTCATGCTCACTCCAATTCTACTGGCAATTCCGTGAATCAAATCTATGCCTTCTTCCATAGCAATGAGCTCTAGAACCTTGACCATCTAAGGGAATATAATTTTTCATCAAAGTTATAAACAGACCCAATTCAGTAATATCACCATCATCTCAAGGTTCTTCCACTATCTTTGTCCTTCCCACCTCCTCACGAGCAAACCCACTGCCCCACCCAAATTCATCTCATGTCTTCATCGACCTTACAACCAAAGTACCAATCATCAAAAATCAAATCACCACTCTGCCTACATGCTATAAATCTCGTTTTCCCTTTCAACTGAGTTCTACAATGCTGAAATTTCTTAATCCACGTGCTTTCCTTTTTCTGCTTTTCCACTGTCTTTGTGAAAGTGAAACTGACTTACTGAAATCGGAGATGTCCTGCACAAACCCAAGGAAGCTCTAAGTATGTTGGTGACCTGTTTATCATTCAGCTTCTTAGAGTACCTTTGCCCTTCAACAATGTTGCACGCCCGCGGTCAATTTGTAGAATACACTGAACATCCGATGTCTAATGTCTAATCTGTAGTAAACAGCCAGCATGGATATAGTGTCCGCGTCAAACATCGCTGGTGTATTCGTCCAGAGACACTTATTCTGCTCTGCAGGACCGACATCTACCGCTCCATCTAGCTCTATGTTGTGTGAGTTCGCGACCCCGGCCATCGCCTTGGCGGAGGCGGTCGCTCCTCTAGACCGCGATGACCGGCAGCCAGGACAGCAACGTACTAGTGGTGTTGCGGGTGGAGACGTCGTGCTGGACAGTGTAGCCAGCGAGGTCGCTGGTTTACTCCTGGCCTCGCCGGATCCTACCTCACCATCTGTAGGTCTCTGTTTGGAGATGGAAGGATCCATGGGAGGGGGGAGGGGCGTCGTGTAGGAACGATGCCACATCATCAGGGAGAGCTGTGGCGGCCGCGGAACCCCGGCGACGGCCGAGAGCAGTTGGGCGGCGGGCACGGCGATGCGATGGGGTTGCCGATCGAGTGAGGGCTGGGGAAGGTGCGGGTGTTTTTTTTAGCGGGGAGGAGTCCCGGTGGATGTCGCGGCGTCCATGATGCACGTGCTCATGTCCGAGCAGCAGCGAGCGATGATGGCGGAGGTGGCGGCGTGCGGGCGGGGTGATGGCGGAGGCGGCGGCGGCGGCGTGACCTAGCCCTCTTCTCAATCGGGGATGTTAGATTTAGGATCGCGGGTTGAATACATATGAGTACAGGGGATTTTCTATAAATTTTGAAACGTTCCCCATATTCACTAAATAAAGAAAGGACTGCGGGTTGAATAGAAGAAACCGTAGGGGCATTTATGCAAGAGCGCCGCGAGGGTGAACCCGGAGACTCAATCCGTGCTTTATTATTAGGAAGAGATTTTATTTTCTAGGATTTTTTTCGGGCGAATTCTGGTTTTAAAAAAATCCCGCCGGACCGGACTGGGCCGAGGCCCAGCTGGCCCAGCCAGCGCCGCCGCCTCCCTCCCGTGCGCGAGACGGACTCGCCGGAGTCCGCCTACGCCACGCTGCCGCGCAGCCCCCTCCTCCAAGTCGGCCTCGACCCCGACACCCCCTCTTAAATATCCCAC